AAAGAAAACACTTTAAATTTTATGAAAAGAAATTTCGGGAAAATATTTAAGGGATATATATATATATATATTACTAAATAAATGAAATGCATTTCATAAAGAATTTCATCGTTTATTTGTCTTTTTCTATTTGAACCATTTTGTTGTAGAAATATTTGATGAAAAATGAAAGTATTTTCAAAGAATTTTTAATAAAAATGAGAAAAATTTTATTGCGATGAAATGAAAATATAAAAATTTGCATATTTTAAAGTTAATCATAAAATATCATTGAGAAAAACAAGTGAATGATGATGATAAGAGTTAATTGATATTGGATATAATCAGTCAAATTAATCATAAAAATGAAAGTATGATAGAATTTAATAGGCTCATATGATTTATTAATAAGAAAATAATCTATGCAAAATGTTGATAATTTAGGATTTTACATTGATTAATTATAAAATGGCAAAAATAAGCAAACAAACAAACAAAAAAAAAGAAAGAAAAAAAATGTAGAAAATGTTGTAATATTTAAAACAGCATCATCAGATCTTTGAACAATGTAAAAGAAATTAGATTTCCCTTTTAATCTGATATTTAATAAAACGTTTTGTCTTATAAAGTTTTTCTTTTTTGTTAAAAAAAAAGTAAAAGCATATTTAAACGTACAAGTTTCACTCAAAAAATTTTCTTTTAGCAAAAACAAAAGTTGTTATCGATGTTTCGAAGTGATTCATCAATGAGCTAAGTAATTTTATGAAGTGAAAGGGCAATCACATTGTTGAAATAAAAATACACATAGAAATAACAAATTAGTTGTGGATATTGTAAGAAAAGAAATGAATTAATTATAATAATATGTTTTTTCTTTTTTTTTATTTACACTTCAAATTTTGATGAATTTACTCATTTTCGTCATTTGAAAAATTCCAAATCGCTTTTCTTCTTTTTTTTCCTGTTTTAACGACTTAATTTTTTTTTAGTAATTAAGTCATCGCACATACATATGATGATAATTTGTTTGTGATGAATACAAACAAAAATCAAGTATTAAAAGAAAATGAAAAAAAATCTTTCAATATTCTTGAATACTTATTGCATTGTATTTGAAATATAAAATAAAATTTAACAAGTCAATCTTCACTAATTAATTAATGAAAAGCTTGATAGATTCAAGTTACAAAATCAGTCTAACCAAATATTAAATTTCAATCCGTTTATATATATACTTTTTTTAAATGAATTTATATATTTTTTATATAAACATATATTTTTTAAATTCGTTTTCAACAAACAGTACTTCAATATTGTATTAATTGGCCTAAATGGATGGGTTCAGAAACTTCTCATATTACGAAAAAAAAAAAGTCAAAAAGTTATAACAGAAATTGTAATTTCTGGATTGATTTTGCCATCAGTGGTGATTCACTGATCAAACTTAGGAAAAATAAGCTTAGCAAAATTTCGAAACCAAATTAAACAAGTCCGTTAAAGGAGTAAGGATTGATTTAACCCAGAATGAATTTTCAAAAGTTTTTACTTTTTTCTTTCTTTTTTTTTCACATTTCCTTCAAGTACATTCAACGATTATATATCGTTGACATTAACAATCATTATCTATTTTAATTCGGTGCATTAGCATTTGTCACTTTGATACTTTTTAAAAACCAAATTATTTGTTAAGTTTGTTTCATATTTCAGATTCAAAACAAGATGATAAAATTTTTTAAAAAAAAAAAGAAAAGTAGAGATCGATGATAGTATTACGATAGATATATCAAAATACAATTTCGTTTTGTTTAACAATATACAGTACCTGGCAGTATCTACATAGTATATTAGCAAATAAAATAGAGAGTTGAACAACAAATTCAGGAATTTGCTCAAGATATAAAAGAGTGAAGATAGAATAATGTAAGATTGGTCTAGTCTAACGGATAGATCCAGAAAATGTTCCTTTTTTTCACAACAATATTTCTTGCTATACTATCATCTACAGGTATCCCTTTCTTTTCTTTTTTTTTCCTCGAAAAAAAGAATATGCATAATAAAAATTTATAAATTTAATTTTTTATTATTTTTTAACAGAATTATTCAATATTTGTCGTATTTTTATTACAAAAATAAAAATTTATTTTTCTTTTATTTCAATATAATTTAATAAAAACAAAAAATTGATTTTTCATTTTTTCAAATCATTTAAAACTTATTTAACAAACTTCTACATTGACTTTTTAAATTTAAATTAAATTTTCAGCCTCTTATTGGCAGTGTATCTTCTGCTATTATCCTTATCCAAAATCATATTCATATCCATATTCATACTCATATCCATATCCATATCCATATTCATATTCATATCCAAATGCATTTTCACCGTATATCCCTTCTATTGGACCTCTTTCTCCCTATTCCTGTAAGTTATTATTGCCTATTTATTAAAAATATTCGTTTTTTTTTTTTTTTTCAAATTTATGACAAATCTGTCATTTTTTTTTTTTCAAATGAAAAAAGCAAAATTGAACAGGATTTATTTCAGCTATTGGTCCATGTGTAAACGGTTTGTGTCCAACCGGATACGGATGTTATAATTCACAATGTGTGCGTGTCTCCAATAATTGTAAATATTTCAATTGTTGTATTTATTAAGAAATTAATTCGTCATTTTTTATTACATTTATTTGAAATGATGGAAAAAAAAAGAAAAATTTTGTAAAGTTATCAAATTTACAGATTAATTATAGTTTTTAAACAGATTAGTCGATTGGAATCGAAATAATAGTATTCAAGGAATTAAATTCAGGAGAAAAATTATAAACGCATAATGTCAAATGATTACGTCAGTTTGATTTATATCAATTAACAATTAGGCATATTTATAATAGTAGTCAAATCAGGGATTAAATTTCAAAATGCCACTTTCTCTCTCCTTGAATATACAATTTCCAAGTTTTTTTTTTATCATGATAAAAAAAAACCAATCTTCATAAATTTTCAATTTCAGATGGACCATGTGTCAACAATCAATGTCCAATGGGATTTTGCTACAATGCCCAATGTGTCGGATAAAATAATTTAAGTTAGCCATGAAAATATTAACGATGACTTTCGATACAAGCTGTTTGTTAAAATCTTGCATAATTACCTTTTCTAATAAAAATGTCTTTTTCTTTTTTTTCTCTTTTAATCAGATGAATGAATGGATAATTTAAGTCGTAAAATTAAAATATTCACCGAAATTTTTGCGGATCCATATTCTTAGGACTTGAATTATAGATCGATTAAATGTATTACTGCGATTAGAAAAAAAATTTGTATCGTATGTAAGCTTTGAAAAAAATAAATTCATTGCCGAATTTTTAAAGTTATCAATTGCCATAAATTTCCGGAATACACTCTCATCTCACAGTTTATTTTATTAGTTTAGGCTATGAAAATGAATTTTCATTTTGCAATTTTTACAATTCGGCAACGAATCCACTTGAATTGTAATGCAGATATTCACAATAAGCAGGTGTACATGATTATGTTTTGTATGGAAATTCCAAATTTTATATCTAATTGGATATTAAACATTTTGGAACCTTTGCGCTACATCCTAAAATACTATACCATTGAATTCCGCAATGAACGAAACGTTCATCATCATGTAAAATTAAAAAAAAAAAAAAAAATCAATCATCGAGAGCGTAATAATAAACCAATACTCTTTTCTTAACTTAGCAATCATAAGAATTGTTCATTGCATTGATCAAAACTTTCAAGTTATTTATCAAAATTTCCATCTAACAATCACTTTTCCTGAATCATACTTTAACGTAATGAGAAAAAGAATTTTATAGAGAGATGAGTAAACTGATTTGCCTTTCCTTTTCGTGGCAATTTAAATGGTCTTAAAAAAAGAAGGGAAAATAGGAATGAATGCATATAGATACAGTAACAAACATTCCCGTAGTTAGGTAATTTAGTGCAATAGTAAACTGAAACTTTCCAACAAGTATTTAAACCTCATTTAAAAGTTCCAAAGTTCTCAACATATGATGACATCAGTTAGCGTCAATACCGACAGCAAGAGATATTTGTGAGGGAGAGCTAAATACATTTTTGTGATGTTGATGAAACTTGTATTAGTCAAAAAATAAGATCAAAAAACAAAAAGAGTAGTTATGATGTGAATACCGTTGTTTGAGAAGCCAATGAATTGAAGAAAAAATTTTAAAAAAAGTCATAAAAAATTGGGAATGAAATTAAGAAATCTTTCTTAGTCGCAACGAGGAAGTATTTTTTTGATGAAAAAATTCCACAAATTAGAATGATTAATAGATTGCTTTACCTGTTCCGTCTACATTTCTCAAGCTACCAGTCGAATCTTTTTTTGCAAACTTAGAAAAATGCAACAGTACAGTAAATAAGCTAATTGACAAGAGCAAATGAAATCGAATAACAAATTAAATAACAAAATGATTGATTTATCAGATGAAACCATATTCTTCTTTTTTTATTCCTCATTGTTGAGCTTTAACACTCTTTTTATGCTCGATATATTTCTTTCCACCATTTGCATAATAGGAGACGTAATAGAAGCGTATCCAGAGTATCAGATAAGTTACTTCCATCAAAGTGCCAAGAGCAAAACCTCGCAACGTGACAGAATACTTATTCGTTGTGGTGAGAGCGAGAATAGCCAAATGTATCATTACTACATGTGTTATGGCAAACTGTAATACTAATTCACATTTACACATTAAAATGTTAAAAAGTATTATTGCTAATCCAACAGAAAAAACTTTGCGAAACATGAGGATCGAAAGACAAATAAACAGTAGACTTGAAACATAGAGCACTCAAAAAATATTTCGACAAGATTAATGAACAAACCTGAATGATCTGACCAAAGGTTATGAACTGGGCGATCTGTGGTGGGACACGTATACGAAGCGATCGCAGCATATAATAACTGAAGAGATGGGAAAATATGAATGAATATACAGCATAGAATATTTAATTTGAAATTTCATATATCAAATCCTATATTTAAAACCACATTGTTTTTGTAATCTTGAAACATAGTTTATTTAGATATTAGATTTTCAAATTCATCACCATAAGTGCTTTAAACTACCAAGGCTAGAGAAATCACAAATATTGATTTCTTCAAATAAATACAAATAACCAATGTAAAAGCCATCAAAAGTACCTGTACATGAAGGAATGTACAATGAAATTCAGCCAAACGACCCAAATCATGTAAGCATTTTTATTGGCATATGTAACGATTGCAAAGTATCCGGTAAGCGCATGGTGATACCAATGCATCAGCATTAGTGGACGTTTCCTCAACACGATAAATATCGTATCCAAGAGTTCCGGAACTTTTGAGACGATCCACAAGAAAGTCCAATAACCAGCAACGTCGTCAGTGAAGCACGGTCCTATTTCAGTGAAAGTGCCTAAATAATAAAATAAATTTGAAAAGCATTAAGAGAAGAAATAACTTTCAACTGCGACGAAGAGAAAACTGAAATTTAGTTTCATCTTCCGGAATAACGGACGAAACAACGAAATCATTAACGCATAAAGAAATACTAACTGATGTATCCTTTAGTAACCATTTGTTTGAGGAAAACTGGCGTTATCTTAGCAACACCAAGAATACTGAAAACAGCCAACAGAGCATTCCAGATAACAAGCGGTTGTTGCAAATCGTATGGTTTTCGATCACGCATCGCATATTTGATAACAAATATGGTGACAACATATGTTAGCGATATATTCAATATAGTCCATTCCATTTGTGATGCCCATTTTCGTGCTGGTTCAAATTCGAATTTGGAGCCAAATATGAATTCCATCGTACCCTGATTGTTTGGTCCCTGTAAAAGAAGAAAAAAGAAAAAAAAGAAAAGGAAAAGAAAGAAGAAACAAATCGTGAATAATTCTGATGATAGAAAAGAATTAAAAATGATGATAAATTTCCGATGAAACATTGAAATGATATATTACAAATTTAACAATTATTCCTACAAACCGTCTATCCGCAGACCAACGATCATTTCTTCGCTCATTTAACTTTTACTTTTCTTACTGACACAAAAAAAGAAGAAATCTCTTTATTTGTGGCAATGTTTCAACAAAATAATATTGATAGAATGGAGACGAGGTAAATGAAAGGAGAGAAGAGATGGAAAAAGATGCCTGTACATATTGGACAAAATGTTTAAAGTGGAAGCCTATCTGCAAACATTTTCATCTTTTCTTTTTTTTTCTTTACATATAAAAAAAAGTTGCAAAAAATGCAAACGTTAAAAACCAATTTATCACTAATGATAATTTATATATATATATATATACATATATATATATAT